GGGAGGTTCCTCGGCCCCCTTTGGCGGCTCTGTTCAGCCCGGAAGTAGCAGTCGTCTGGAGAAAGTAGAATATCAAAATCAGTTGAACGACCAAATTGTAGGGATTTCCGTGCCAGCCAATGGCACCGGATCGGACGCCGTTTATATCGGGGGTTATCCTGCGACCGGTATAAAATACGATTTCTTCCGAGGGTTACGTTTCTATAATTCTGAAGCGGAAACAAGACCGGTCAATGTGGCGGTCAGAATTTGGGAGAGAGTTGCATAAAATAAAACTACCGGGGGATTATAATTCATAAATAAGTTGTCAAAAAAATTAAGGGAAAGTAAGTTCAGCAATTATTTAATAAATAAATAAATCAGCATTAAATTTCAAACCCCGGGGTTTTTGTAGAAAAACCCAACCCCTGGGGTTTTTCCGGGGTTTTTGGGGTTTTTGGGTTTTTGTGGGTTTTTGTGGATTTTTGTAGATTTTGGGGCAGTTTGAACCAGAATTCGTAAAATTATATATTAGAGATAAACTAATTTTCTCTTGTTATATACAACTCTGAATTTTATATACAATTTTAACATGCAATTTTAACCGTTATCATTGATTTGGACTGTTACATCGAAAATTTATGTTTGACATGTAAATCTGGATATATGCAATGATATTTGGAAATTCAAGTCGCAAATGAAAATTCTCAAACTTTCAAGATGAAGCAGAAAAGTTAATTAGCATTGATCTACGTTGTAGTTTAAGGGATTTTGTTTCAATCTACCTCAAAATCCTACAAAAACCCCGGAAAAACCCACAAAAACCCCGGAAAAACCCACAAAAACCCACAAAAACCCGCAAAAACCCCATTAAGCATTAGGGGTTTTCCGGAGATTTGATACCCCAAAAACCCACAAAAACCCCAAAAACCCCAACCCACAAAAACCCGGGGTAGCGAACCCTGAGCATACCCTGGCAACAACTGGGAAGAGAACGCTTTACAGTTGCTTTGAAGAAACACTCCTCTTTGCTGCACATTGTAGTGAAATTCCGAACTCCTGGGAAGGAGTAATTTGATAGGATCAAAGAATCATGCACCTTGGCGTCAAAATTCCATCCCGAGTACTAAGCTTTAATTCTCACTTAATTCTGCGACGCACTTTGAAGCAAGATACATACAATGTAGTAGTGACTAGATATTTACACCAGTTTTGAAAAGGCCGGACTCAATATGTGCTCCAGGCCGTCCCAATCCGAGGAACGCCACTGCGTTTTAGATAAAAAAAATAGAGACCGAAAAATCAATTACGGACCTAATCTAGTGCTATCCTAAGGGATTTTTCGATATAACCTCCCAGAAAAAAGTTTTGATGGTGGTGAATGGTTGCGTTTCGCAATTACAGTATGAAGGAGACTACCTACATAGCTGGGTATCTAAATTTATGAAAGATCGCCCCCACTTTACAATAAAGGGAAACAAGAATTGGGTCGATTGAGTGAGAAACCAGCGACTTTTCCTTATAACGAAAATTTCCAAGTGGTTGCTATATATCTGTATTGGTATGTATGTATGTATGTTGCGGGTGATCCACTTGGGAGCACTTCGGAAGTTTCATATACATTCATTTACATACAACCGATATTCTGCTGGTGATTCAGCAGATCCATTATTCATTTTGATACTGTACATTCTTTAGTTTAAAATCTGACAGCGAATGAAAACATGACGAAATTTATATTTACTGCTCACTAATCCGTCGGAATTAGCTTTTTAATCTAATAGATAGATGGACATAAATAGATGGACATAAATCAAATTGTGGCCAACTTGATCAATCACAAAACTGGAATTTCCATAATTTGGTGGTATTCCCCCTTTAATATGTCATGCATAAATTAGATCTTCATAATTGCAATTCGATAGCTGTACAAGAGGATCATCCCGTATTGCCGAATCAAATTGTGATCGAAAACCCGTAATGCGTAAATATTTAATTATGTATGTATGTGACTAGGTTCAGATAAACCGGTACATGGTGTTGGACGAGTTGTCGCAAAACTCAAAACGCTCTTACACGTGTCTAATAGAATCAAAAATTAAGGTACACGTGTTCGCGCGTTTCTTCTCAAGGTATTTAGAGACAGAGAAATATAATTGAGTTTTCATCAATCTACTGCTATGTTAGATTTCAATCTGCTCCTGTGTTGACGTTTGTATACCTGGAAAAATAAAACTCAATAATGCTCTTTGGCCTCAAAATTATTAGGGAGTCGTCCCAGACCCTTTATTATAGGTTTATTTCGACATTTGTTGCAACTGACGATTGTTTGACTACAAAATATGTAGAACATATCAAAAATTTGGGTAAATCAAACTGAAACTAATAGAGAAAATGAGCATTATGGTTACTTCGTGGGAACTTCCATCAAAATCGAACTTCCTACAAAGTACCCTTAATATTTGAGCTATGAGGTTCAACGAAACGGCATTCGAAGCAGAATATAGGATTTCTGTAGAGATATAAAGCTAGAAAGATACCATTACATAAGCTAGAACTATGTTAAAAAAACGAAAAAAAATGTCAAAATTGTCAGGTAATTGGCATCGTAAATTTCAACCTAGGCGGCCAAGTCTCTCAGGCACTGTGGGCAATACCAAATAAGGTTTGCATGCCAAGTTTGGAATCAATCACCGCACTGGTAGCGTCACAATGTTTTTTCCCAGTATTTGGGGTGAAATGAAAAATTTGGGGCACCTTGAGAAGAAACGCGCGAACACGTGTACCTTAATTTTTGATTCTATTAGACACGTGTAAGAGCGTTTTGAGTTTTGCGACAACTCGTCCAACACCATGTACCGGTTTATCTGAACCTAGTCATGTGCACCTAAATGTAGTGTAGCCAGTGAGGTGAGCTAAACTAACCTCAACTGAGGAGGGGAGCTTCACCACCTGCCCCTCTCAGATCTTGATGTGCTTTGGATATGTGGTAGTGTCCCATGAGTGTACTAAAACCCTGAAGTGGTTTGACTCCATGGCCACATTTGCGCCCGCCACACCCACTCAAAGAGATAAAAACACGAAAAAAGCCCTGTTTTCACTTGTTCAAACCCTCGCCAAAAATCCAATTTTGCTCGGATTTTGGTAAAATTAACATTTTTGTGATCCCACATACTTGTGTGATCCTATCCAGTAGATATCTCAACGTTTTCGAAATTTTGAATTTTTTCGACAGAGTGGGTGTGGCGGGCGCAAATGTGGCCATGGAGTCAAACCACTTCAGGGTTATAGTACACTCATGGGACCCTACCACATATGCAAAGCACATCAAGATCTGAGAGGGGCAGGTGGTGAAGCTCTCCTCCTGAGTTGAGTTATGAGGTGAGCTGAGCTTGCCTTAAATGAGTTGAGCTCATGAGCTAAATGACCTGAGGTGAGTTGAGGTGAGTTGAACTCACAAGCCAGCTCATTTAGCCAAGAAGCAGATTTCCCATGCAAGGGAACGAGAATAAATGCGCAATTCTGCTCAAATCCTTCACATTCACAGCCTGATCCATGATTTAATACTGTCAGCGCACAACCTCGACCATCACGTGCTCGTATCCTTCCCATACTATTAGCCTGGTAGGGATACGAACGCGGCAGTCAAATTTTGGTCGAGGTTGCATGCTGGCCATATTAACATGTCGCATCTTTGTTCCTGTCGAATCAATTACCAAAATTTTACATATAACAAGACCTCAACCCCTATAAGGATTTCTTATTGTCGAAATGCTTATAAATGTCAACCTTAAGGTTCCCATGGATGACGCGTTGGCGCATAATCTCATTCTACCCCTATCCAATGTCTTCAAATGCAATTTCTAAAATCGAATCAACTCCATGAGTCTTGAGATATATGCAACTTTTGATATTTTAATCTAAAGCTAATTTTTGGTACTACAAACAAGTCGATTTGAAAAAAATTTAAAAAAATTCATCTTCGAGGAAATTTATTGTGAAAAATTGGCAAACGAATTTTTTATTTTTTTTCATATCGACTTGTTTGTAGTACCAAAAATTAGCTTTAGATTAAAATATCAAAAGTTGCATATATCTCAAGACTCATGGAGTTGATTCGATTTTAGAAATTGCATTTGAAAATATTGGATAGGGGCAGGGTGACATTACGCGCCAACGCGTCATCCATGGGAACCTTAATGGTTAATATAAATGCGATTGTTAACCAGGCAAATAAATGTCATTAATATTTATATAATCCATAGTCATAGTGTAAATAATTGTGCACGTCGCAAATTTCTACTTCTTGTTGGTATTAAATTAATACTTTTAATGCAATATTACCGTTCGTAAGTGTTTTTTAAGTTTGGAAATAAGTCACACGGCGTCAGTTCACGTTCAGGTTGCACATAATCAGACAGTGACAATTTTTGTATGTTCAAGTATTAATTGTATAATGGTGTGTGATCTTTTGTACAAATAACACAATTATATTAAAATGAAAATCCAACTTCCAAGTTTATACAATTTGAAAATAGGTATATTTACGCATTTATCTGCGTGCCTTGAATGGCAATTTGTCATTGACAAATGAGCTCAACTCACCTCAGCTCATTTAAAGTGACGTGAGCTGAGTTTGCCTAAAAACTCATCTCGCCTCAGCTTGTGGCAACACTACCTAAATGCTAACTAATCTTTAGTAAGTATTCAATCATGTCGGGATTTAACGTTTCACTCTCATCAGATCAATGGAGTAGACGAAACGAACTGCAATAACTGATAACTAAATATCTAAATACATAATGTACGCAAAACTGGGATTTCCCTATTGACCAGGCAACGATTAACCGCTTATCTCCGCATTACCACATATACTTACTCTACTCCTATGCAAACTGATCTTTGCATACATCTCATCATGTTGATCCTTCTCATATAAAAGCGTTCCAAATTCCCCACTTCTTTACGCTGCTTCAGAAGCAGCAATCCAATCGTATTTCCCTCCACTCCTTAGCTCCACCATGAAGTTGCTTCTCGTCCTCGCTGCCACCTTGACAGTCGCCGCCGCCGGCACGGTCCACCCCGCCCTCAACCTCGCCATTCAACAAGGCGCAACTGAGGCGATTCTCGAACTACCCCAAATCATGGAACAAGTCGAAGCCAGCCGATCGCTCTCTTCCCTTTCCGGTGACGCCAAGGTGTCCGCCCTCGTCGTCATGCTGCAAGGACTCACCTCCGCTGCTCAGGCCCCCTTCGTCCAAGTCGCTTCCTCCCTCGGCCTCGAGACGCAGACCTACTGGGGATCCAACATCATCCTCGTCAAGGGTTTGACCCCCCAGACTCTTGCCTCCTTGGCCGCCACTCCCGGAGAATTCACCCTTCGCCAGCAAATCACCGTCCAAATGACCCCATCCGTCGTCGTCGAGTCTGCCCAGAACGCTACCCAGAACCCACAATGGGGCGTTGCCATGATCAGGGCGCCCGAAGCATGGGCGCGCACTCAAGGTGAAGGGACCGTCGTTTGCATCATCGACACCGGAGTTAATCTAGGACACGTTGTCCTCGCTGACGCGTACTGTGGTGCCTGGAGCGACCCGCACTACAACACGGCGGAACCAACTGACCAACAGGGACACGGCTCCCACTGCGCGGGAACCGTCCTTGGACGTGCCAACGGTGTCGGTGTCGCCCCTGCTGCCCAATGGGTCGCCTGCCGTGGGCTTAACCACCAAGGATCCGGAACTGAAGCTACCCTCATCTTCTGCGGCCAATGGGTCTTGACCGCTAATCCCAGACCAAACATCGTCTCCAACTCGTGGGGCGGTGGTGGCAACGATCCATGGTACAACACCGTCGTCTTTGCGTGGCGATCGGCTGGAATCATCCCAGTTTTCGCGGTCGGAGCCTCAGGGTCATCCTGCAGGACGACCACCTCTCCCGGAGATCAGCCCAACCTTATCTCCGTTGGTGCCACCACTGACACCGACGTCATGGCGACCTTCTCCGCCCGAGGACCCAACGCACGAGGAGAACTCAAACCAGAAGTCTCCGCACCAGGAAACAACTCATGTCGTGCGGAACTGGAGCCAACAATTACGTCACCATGTCCGGAACTTCAATGGTAGGTTGCACTGAATACTTTAGTTTATGAGAGATTGACTAATTTTTTAATAATTTCGTCATCACAGGCCACCCCCCACACCGCTGGAGCCATCGCTCTTCTCATGTCTGCCAACCCAAGCTGGGGATACGACGAGATCTTCACTGCCCTCACTACCACGCCAGCCCACCCCACCTTGTCCAATGCTGACAGGAATTGTGGACTTCCGGAAGGTGGAGATTTCCCAAATCATGCCTTCGGTAAGTTTGCTACAATTGAAGTGAAGATCGAATGATGACGTTGATATTGAAAATATTTTGTGAATTTCAGGTTACGGACGTATCGATGTTGCTGCTGCTCTTGGACTTTAAATTGAGTGATCAACACAACTTGTTTTAGTCAAACCAAATTATTTTTAAATTGGACTATCCCACGAAATACAAAAAAAAATATTTTCAAAAATAATCAACCAGACTAACTTGAACTATTTACTTACATATTCGTATCGCAAATTATGTACATAAGTGTTATTTTTAACATTATAAAATTCATTTAAATGATATAAATTTTCATGGGTCAAATGGTGATAAATATTCATATGCCAATCTTATGCAGAGTAATTGAAAGGACAGAGTCTAGATGTACATACATATGTCGAAACATCAAAAATGCCAAATTTTCATAGCAAATGATGCAACTCGAGCATGCTCAATTCTCACTCAATACACTCCGTTTCCCCGAGTTTATGTATCTCTTTTTCTAATGTGAGGTAAAAAAAACTATATTTACAGTTACACCTTAAAATATGAAAATTAATTTTTAAAATTAAAAAAAAATGATATTTTCATGCCATTTCTGAATTTGTAGAAACCCAAAAAACGATAATTTTTTTAAAATTAAAAGTTTCTGAAAAAGAATTTTTATATTTTCAGGGATGTAATTCTGAACACAAATTGGGTTTATTTTTTGAAATCGGGTTAAAATTCGAAAAGTTACAGCATTTTTAAAAATCCTGATTTTGGCTGAAATTTTTTTTGAAAATTCCGCCAAGGGCGAAAACATGCCCATTCAGGAAAACTAAAAAATACGGGTCCACTTATTTCTGATCCCGAAAAATTTAAAATTAGTCCGGTGGTTATCGGCGATAACCACCTCACACCTCCTCATTGTTAGTATGCATTCATGATGGCATTACGGTATTATGGTTCACGGATGAACCATATATTTGTATGGTTCATCCGTCCCCAAATATTGATTAATTATTTAATTAATTATAACTAGTTTGACATCGTGCTCGTTGTACTGATAAACCGATATATTTTAAACCTATAGTATACAATACAAGACAAACATTGCTTTTAAATTTGTTGGGTGACTCTTTGACCGACTTATTTACAACCTAGTTTTATTTTTGCATGCATGGAATAGACAGCCCAGGCGAAGTAAAATTATCTGCGTGGCGGAGGGAGCTTGTTTAGTATTTTTAAGTGCACTTCCTCACCTTAGAACTTTTTACTTTTTCAAGCTATATTTCATTTATAAAAACTTTTTACCAAAAACTTAAAATTACAACTCAAAACTTGGAAACAAGTTGAGATAAATACTGTATTTGGTTTTGCGTAATATAAGCTTTTCATGCATGAAAATCTCTCTCTTTTTTGTGTTTTAAGTCGCCCCACTATTTTGATTCGCGGTGGCGGTGAGTTGGCAAGAGAAAGAAAGGCAATGAACAATTAACCTTGGATTTGAGTGAAGGTTAACAGGAGGTAGAAAAGAGTCGTGATTTAGAGTCGGAACAGAGCAGACTTACTGCTGAGACAGTGGTCCTAATAGTGGACAATTGGTGTAATAATTAGAGAGTTAATTGTGACAATAAATTGGCGTTGCATTATTGAGATCGTCATTTGTTTGTTCACACATTATTTACACCGTTTCTCGGAGGAAAGCAGAAGTCTCATCCTTTCAATCGCGAAGAGACTACACCCACCCAAACCTGAATAGGCTCGCTGCTGGTAGTGGGAGTGGCTATTCAAAATTTGGTGTTTTATAGGAAATCATAAAAATTTTAATTGGTTGCTACCAGATGAAATTGACATCGTGCCTAGAGAAATTTTATAAAATCCGTAGAACAAAAAAGGTCTGCGTTATTCATAATAAAGTTTGCCTACCTGAGGAACGGCCAAGAAGTAGATTCCGAAATTGCAGAAGTGAATATGATAACTGCCCAGATTCCGACATCCCTCGAAAGAGTGGTGTCCTCAACGGGAAAGTGAAGACGGGACAGGTTTTTCCACGTGGAAAAGAGATTATAAAACCTGCTCCCGTTTATCCAGAATATCATACAGCTGAAAATTTAAATATTTTTTTTAAATCCTGCTGAATTTTTTGAATTTCATAAAACTTTTAGATACTTGAAAGTCCCAAGCGTATACAAAGCTGGGAGAAGGGCAGCCCAAGCTATCTCGAAAGCGTTGGTTTGCTTCTTGCTGAAACTTTGGATCAAGTTAAAGATCGCATATGTGCCGATTAATAGTGCGATTATCAACGTAATGCACGATGCGAGGCTGCATTTCCTTTATAATAAAAAAATTATTAAATTTGCCGAAAGGCATTAACTTTATTTGAAAATTAAAAAAGATAGTTCTGAGTTCTTAAATTTGTAAGGACGAAAAAATTAAACGCTCCGTTTTTTATGTATTTTTTTATACATATGTAGCCTTTTATCTCGTTGGCTAAAATTTCGCAATGTCCAGTTTTGACGACCCAATTACTTAGAATTTCTTCAAATTAATTCAAAATTTCGAATGCGTCCAAAATTTTAATTCAAAACATGCAAATGAAGTGACACACAGGACTTTTTGGACTTGTTTTACCAAATTACTATTTGCACAAATCTCGCACGATCGTTTAATAAATTTCTTCGTTCTTAACAAGTATCCTGAATAAAAATGCGTAAGAAATATGTCAAATTACTTAAAAGTAAGTTTTGAACCACGATGGAAAACCCCTTGAATTGGTAGGATCCCAATTATTCTGCCAAAAATTAGGTAGTATCGTAACTTTTCTTGAAGGGATGGCTTATCGTGACATGTCTGGTTATCAGTGACAGGATTGACTGTGACAATATCTAAGGCCTCAGATCTTCGATGCGCAAGGTCAGACCTAATATCAACCCGTGAAATCATTATGCAGAGTAAACCAGTCTGAAAAATTTATTTTTCGTTTAAAATATGTAGATATGTATGTAAATTTGTGAATGTGCAAAGGAAATATGTAAGTACTGATATTTCCAGACGTGGGTGGATTTTCACGGTGACAAGAATGTCTAATTGCGCATCGTATGTGCAATTAAATAAATTTACATATGCACACATGTACATACTCTTCGGGAACCAACTTTATTAAAATTGACAACCATTTTATACTGAATTTCCATATTCCGAACAAAAGAAATGTGTCGTGTTTCATATGTAAGGGGCAGAGTCCGGATAAATATGTTCTTAAAAACCCCGAAATATTTATGTAAAATGTTCAATCAAATCGCCAAAATATGTATATAAAACATATTTTTAATTCGCTCTAAATTGCTTCAAATTTAACTTATTTTACTGCAGAAACGAAAAAAAAGCTATTACATTTCCAAATGACCAACTAACAACGTTTCCACATGCTGTGGTATTATTTCGACGATGATGGAAATTTTTTATGTATTGTGAATTTCTGAGGTTTCTCTAAAACAATATATTTTTTTCGAAAAAATCGCTGAAATATGTAAAAACATATTTATGTGTATCAAAAAATGCACATTTTCTGCAAAATCGTCGAAATATGTTAAAACATATTTATATGTACCAAAACCTGGAAATATGTAAAATATGTGAAAACATTTTTTTGACCGTGTGACCTAGGCCTGACCAGAAACAATATCCCAAAGTTTCAACCCGATCGGGTTATTATTGAAAAAGTTTAAAATACATTCATAGCCGGACTCTGGTAAGGGGTGTAAAGTGGCAGTTTAAGTAAAGTAGCCTACGTGTTTGTCGATTAAATTGTTCGTAATTAAAGTATTATCATATAATGGTTGAAGTATTTCCTAGCGCCCCAATTTTCTTTCTCCCAAAGTTCGCAGAATTTCCTAGCTTGTGTTTAATTTGCGAGATTTGTGAGCCCCACGAATGTCGTAGTATGCCAATTACTATATTATTATTAGTTAAATACTTCAAGTAACTAAACATGTACATACATGTATGTATCTAAAATTAAAGTCTACTTATTATTAGTCATTTAAACTAAATATACCTAGGTATATATATAATAGAAGTTTACTTTATTAACAATGATAATTGCAGCTAGCTCGTCAACTAATTATGTATTTGTCACACTACAATTGTTCATTTGCATGACGACCGTCTCACGAGGAGTCGCATGTAACAAGATTATCTCGAATGTGACTAGGACTCCGATTATGCTCAAAATTAAAGGTTTCGTTACACTGAAGCAGCTCATTCCAGTTAAAGCAATCCTTTCGGTTTGCAATTGTCTCTCAAAGCGGGCTACCTGATGTGAGAATGAAAATTAACACTATCATAAATTAGTGTATATTGGTAACTTTATGTTTCGCATCACCTTTGGTGTATACATCTCGATCGGGCATTGCTTCAAAATGTCTGCAAACTTATGGGCATCCGAGGACACTTTCGCTGCCAGGAGAGACATGGTAAAGAATCGAACAACCACGTGGAGAAAATTCCATATTGCGTAAAATTTGAATATGTCCTTCGCTTGAAGAAATGGCACCAAAATGAATAGGACCTTAAAATAAAAGTTAAAATGCATATATATGTATATTTATGTAAAATATCGCATAATGGATATGTGTACATAAATTAACACATTAAATTATGGGGAATCTACATATATACTCGGATTTTTGTACCTCAGCCAAATTTCGCAAACATCCGAGCAAATTGTAAAGTCTTTACAATATAAATTTTATATTCAAACACCCGAATTTAATCGAAATTCCTAGAAATCCATGTTTTTTTTATAAAACAGGATATCTTAACCTCAAGATGCACAAATTCTCCTCCATCTGATTTACCACTAAGCAAATCCAGAACATGTTGGCAGCACATGTCGCAAAAATTATGGGAGACAAGAATTCCTTAAACGACTGCATAACTTGGTAAATTCTTCCGTGATCGTCGACCAGAAATTCCCAAAAGGCGGTATCCTCTCCAAAATACCTTTCGTCCCTGATCCGCCTGTCAACATGTACAATTTTCTTACAAACTTCCCTCAATCCTCTGAATTGTCCGTACAGCGCCCGAGCAAATATCCCGATCAGAACGTCCACATAATTCCAGGCGTATTGCGTAATAATATTCAGTGTCAGAAGTAAAATGTCCCAAATTGGAAAATCGGTCCGGGAATCTCAATCGGTTGTCTCTGTAAAAATATTCAAGAAGATTGTTCCTCTTAAGGTTCTGCAGATTTTGACAAGATTTTGAGCTATCGCTCCTTCAACTTATTTCTACAATATTTTCTTAAATGATGTGGATCATTATACTTAAAAATATTAAATTATACAATACTCTCGTCTTAAAAAAGCACCGCACTTGTAATCATATATACCTGTTCAAAATTGAAATTCAGATTAGAAATGCATACGTTGCATGAAGCCACATATACAAATTCGGGTCTATTCACGAGTTATCGAACCACCAGAAAGACTGACAGACGGACATAACGATGTTATAAAAGGGTTTTACCCCATAATAATAATAATGACTAACTTGTTCGTTCTCTATGGAATAAATTAATTGGAACAGGTACTTATGTAGACTTTTTCATAAGATTGGTTGCTTTGCATAAATGATTGTTTCCCAGTCGTTTTGAGATGTTTCTACCTTGCGCCGACTCGTTTGTGCTGTAACTTAAGTTTTCAATAGTTTGTGATTATATTTTGTGAGAGAAACATTCATCACATTCCAACTTTAACATGTTGTGAAACGAATTTCATTAATGCTTTAACATCGTTATTCCAGGTAACGTTTGTCTACCGAATCAACGGCCAGGAAATTGTTTCCGAAATTGCAGAGGTGAATATTACAATTGCCCAGATTCCGACATCCCTCGAAAGAGTAGTGTCCTCCACGGGAAAGTGAAGACGGGACAGGTTGTTCCACGTGGCGAAGAGATTACAAAACTTGCTCCCGTGTATCCAGAATATTATGCAGCTGAAATTTACATACAAATTTACATATTTTTTTGACCCTTCTTAATTATTAAAATTTCATAAAACTTTTACTTGAAGGTCCCAAGCGTATACAGAGCTGGGGGAAGGACAGCCCAAGCTATCTCTAAAGCGTTGGTTTGTTTCTTACTGAAACTTGCGATTAAGTTGATAATCGCGTATGCACCGATTAATAGCGTGATTATCAAGGTAGTGAACGATGCTAGGCTGAATTTCCTTAAAAGTAATTTAATTTGATTAATATTTGTATATTAGTTCTTTGAATTTGAGTTTTCTGAATTCATAATGACGCATACATAAATTAAGAATTAAATTAAGGAATGTATGTACATATTCGACATTTCCTATATGCACACTACTGTTATATCATTTGGGTAAATATGCGTTTTCTAGCTATATTGATCTTAAATTTACTATAAAGTTGTGAATGCGCGCAAAAATTTTGGCTCAAAACATGCACTCATAGATAAATGAACTAGCAGACAACATTTATTAAACTTGTATTACCAAAATTACTTGTTCCAATTTCATAAATCTCACGATAAGTATTTAATTTCTTCGTTCTGGACAAACTTCCATATCAAAATTCTTTAAAAATATGTTACTATTATGCAATTACTTGAAAGTAAGCTTCGAACCACGATGGAAAACCCCTTGAATTGGTAGGATTCCAATTACTCGGCCAAAAATTAGGTAGTATCGTAACTTTTCTTGCAGGGATTGCTCATCGTGACACTTCTGGATTTTGGTGGCAGAATTTACCATGATTATTTTTTCGGTGCGAAACACATGAGATTTTTTACTGCAAATGTCAGACCTAATGTCAACCCGGGGAATCATTATATAGAGTGAACCAGCCTATAAAATGTAGACAGGAATTTTTGTCTGTTTGAAATATGTATGCATAGAAATGTGTGAATATATATTGTAAGGCGACAAGTATGTACTTCACTTCCAGACGGGGAAGATTTTCAAGGTAATAAGAATGTCTAATTCGACATCGGATGCGCAATTAAATAAATTGCACATGCGAAACTTTGAAAACCAACTTTATTACCAAGGTGTCCTATCAAGAATAATTTTATCTTGAATTTCTATACCAATTACATATGTACAAAAGAAACGTGTCTTGTTTCTCAAGCACCTTAATTATGCAGTTTGAGTGAAATAGGCTACGTGCTTGTCGGTTAATATATAAATTGTCTCTAATTAAACTGTTATCATGTAATGATTGGAATATTCTCTTGAAGTTTATGTACATAAGTGCATACAAACATACATAATATGTATGTTTGTATGTACTGAAATATTATTTATGTATATACACGTGTACACATTGATGAATTTATATGTTTATTAAATGTTTAAAATGCGTTCTCACTCGCTATACTAGTAACGTTGAGATGAAAAAAATTATTAATAGCATATTTCTGAAAGAAATATCTCTAGATTCTCACTAAATGCATATTCATAGCATGGTCCAATGATTTTCACAAGGGCAAATATTTTTATGTTTTAGACAGTTTGTTAGTTAGTTACTTTATTAAAATTGATAATTCAAGCTGGTCAATTAGTTATGTATTCGGCACAACGTTCATTGTCACCGCTTCCCGAGGAATTGCATGCAACAAGATTATCTCGAATGTGATTAGGACACCGATTATGCTCAGAATTAAAGGCTTCGTCACACTGAAGCAGTTCATTCCGGTTAAAGCAATCCTTTCGGTTTGCAATTGTCTCTCAAATCTGGCCACCTGATGTAAGAATCAGAATTAGTCATATTACAAATTGGCGTACACATATATAATTTGAAAATGTATGTTTTGCTTCACCTTTCGAGTATACATCTCGATCGGACATTGCTTCAAAATGTCTGCAAACTTGTGGGCTTCCGTGGACACTTTTGCTGCCAGGAGAGACATTGTAAAGAATCGTACCACCACGTGGAGGGAATTCCATACTGCGTAAAATTTGTATACGCCATTTGCTTGAAGAACAGGTGTCAAAATGAAAAGGACCTTAGAATAAAATTAAAATATTTATGTAAAATATCACAATCTGGACATCAGGGTTTGAAAAACCACATAGCAGTGGTTAAAATCACATTACAAGTTATTCTCGTGATTTATGTGAAATACATGATTTGTGAGATTAAGACGATGAACATGAGTCGGATTCACTGAATCCGATTCAAGACAAAATTGTGAACATTTTCATAAGCAACTCGATTGACTAACTTTCGTGTTTAACATACAAATTATATAACTCCAAAACGCGAGATAAATCTAAAAATGCACAGAATTTGTTGCTGAATCCATATTTTTTTGTGCTAGAACGTATTTTAAAGTGTATCACTTTTTCCCAGCAATCTTTCAAATCACGGAAAGCACAATTGCGTGGCGAATACTTAAATCATAAAGTGTAATTATCACATTTATGCATACAATGTACGTACATAAAATGTCTAATACATAAGACAATGGGCGTACTAACGACAACGTCTTATTTCGCATATCAACTTATTAGCAAACTTGCGAAGCTCAAAATATTTCTGTCGTGAGGGGATTCGCAAAATTTGGGATTTGCAAATCTCGCCAATCTCGCAAACCTACTAAAAACACCTAGATATTCTGATGTCGTTTCCATGAATTTCCGTACTTTCTCTTGATGGGTATGGTGAGGATGAGTTTGCGAAATAACTTTGCGAAATTAGAACATGCTCATTAGCCGGGTAAATTTGCGAAAAGAAATCCCACGGGTTTCCACTGGAAACTTTCCAGAGACATTTTTGTGAAATCTCGCAAAACTTAGGAATTTATGTTGCTATGCTCAATTTGCGAGATATGCGAAGTTGACGTGAGCCGTATGTAGGGTCCACTCGGGTTTCTGAAACCCAGCAAAATTCCCAAAAATATTCCCAAATTTCGCAAAACTAAGGTTTAAACGAATGACTAAGCGATTTGGTTAGTATACCACATAAATCATATACCTACATACATAGATACATAAACACCTGGATTTCATCTAAATAAATTCTGAAAAGCATGTTCGTTTTGATAAAACATAATAAGCTTCCACATTAAGATATCTCAATTCTTATAGTACCAGTACACAAATCCAGAACATATTTGCGGCAAATGTCGCAAAAATGAGGGGAGACAAGAATTCCTTAAACGCTTCCATAACTTGACAAATTATTGCGTGATCGATGACCAGAAATTCCCAAAAGGCGGCATCCTCTCCCAAATACTTTTCATCCCGGATCCGCCCCTCAACAGGTGAAATTTTCGCACAAATTTCCCCCAATCCTTTGAATTGTCCGTACAGCGCCCGAGCAAATATCCCGATCAGAACGTCCACATAGTTCCAGACGTATTTGGTAATAATATTCAGAATAAGATTCAACATGTCCCAGTTTTGATAATCGGACTGCAAATCCACACCGATTTTGTCCCTGTAAAAAATATCCAAACCGCTCGTTCGTCACAATGTTCTGCAGATCAAGGTGGATTTGGGGGTGGAATTATCAATGCCGGTTTTTTGTTAGATAAAAACATTTCAATTTGGCAATATTTTTAAACGAATTTCAAGTTGCAGATGCGTTATTCATAATAAAGTTTGCCTACCTGACGAACGGCCAAGCAGTAGATTTCGAAATTGTAGATATGAATATTATAATTGCCCAGATTCCAGTATCCCTCGAAAGAGCGGTGTCCTCCACAGGAAAGTGAAGACGGGACAGGTTTTTCCACGTGGAAAAGAGATTACAAAACCTGCTCCCGTACATCCAAAATATGATGCAGCTGAAATACAAAAATTGATATAAATTTTCTTAAATCCTTTAATTCGAATTGGTTAAAATTTCATAAACTTTTACGAGAAGGTCCCAAACGTATACACCATTGGAAGGAGGGCAGCCCAAGCTATCTCGAAAGCGTTGGTATGCTTCTTGCCGAAGCTTTCGATCAAGTTTAAGACAGCGTACGCACCGATTAGTAGTATGATAAT